TGGTCCTCAGAAAAGATCTCTCTCCATATCAACGTCAGAGACCTCAGGGTGGTCCGCCTACCCTGCCAGGCATTCCTACCTCACATTGTAAACAAGGTCATTTTGGTTCTCACGGACAACATGATAGCTATGTTCTACCTCAACAGGCAAGGTGGAGCATGCTCTTCCCCTCTGTGTCAGGAAGCAATTAATCTGTGGGAGTTCTGCATAGCACTTTCAATCCATCTCAAGGCTTCTCACCTCCTGGGAGCACAGAACCAGCTGGTGAATTGCCTCAGCAGGTCCTTCTCTGCTCACCATGAACGGTCCCTTTGGCCGGACATTGCAAGGATCATTTTCCAACAGTGGGGAATTCCCCCATTAGACCTACCCGGATCAACAAGAAATGCCACCAGTTCAGCTCCCTGCAAGGCCACAGCCTGGGGTCTCTCATGGACAGTTTCCTGCTACTGTGGACAGATCACCTGTATTACACCTTTCATCTTATCCCACTAGTGCATGAGGTTCTGATGAAGGTCATTCTCATAGCCCCAGCATGGCCAAGGAAACATTGGTTTGCTACTTTGTTAGGCCTCTCAGCAGAGGCCCCATTCCTGCTTCCTTTGTATCTGGATCTGATCTCCCGAGACCACAGTTGGCTACTCCATTCAAACCTCAGCTCCCTCCATCTGATGACCTGGAAGTTCTATGGCTGAATCCAGAGGAGCAGGCATGCTTGGAGCAGGTCTGTAAGGTCCTGCTAGGCAGTAGGAAGCCCTCCACCAGGACCACTTACTTTGCAATTCTCCATCTGGTCTTCCCAACATGGAGTTCTGCCCTTGTGTTCCTCTTTGCAGCTTATTTTGGAGTACCTGTTACATCTGAAACAACAAAATTTGGCTATTTCTTCAGTCAAGGTCCACCTCACAGTGATTTCGGCCTTCCATCCCCCAGGCAACAAGAAGTCTGTCTTCTCTCATGAGATGGTTATCCTTTTCCTTGAAGTCCTAGAGAGGTTGTACCCCAGGTTAGGGATCCCATTTCTTCCTGGGACCTAAACCTCGTCTCATCAAGGCTTACGGGTCCCCCATTTGAACCCCTGGCAACGTGCTCATTAGTTCACCTCTCCTGGAAAGTAGCCTTTTTAGTGGCCATCACCTCGGCCAGATGGATTTCGGAGATTCGTGCCCTCATGTCGGAGCCCTGGTATATGATTTTCTTTAAGAATAAGGTGCAGCTGCATCCGCACCCGGCTTTCCTGCTGAAAGTGGTTTTGCAATTTCACTGCAGTCAAGCAATCTTCCTACTGTGTCCTTCACACAACTGCATTCAAACAGGGAGGAGCAACCTCTACACTCTTTAGATGTTAGACTGGCCCTGGCGTTCTATCTACAAAGGACCAAGCCGTTCCCTAGATCTGCTCAGCTATTCATAGCAGTAGAGGATTCTCAACTCACTGTGCCATCACCCAGCAGGCCAGAGACAATGCCAGCTTTGACCAAGCAGTATTGCAGTCAGCATATTAATGAACTCCGAATCCACCTCTTATGCAACTGCTTGGGAGTCACCTACATTGGAATGGACATGTGCAAGCACTTGAAGAAGAAAAAATGGTTGCTAACCTTTCTGTAACTGTTGTTCTTTGAGATGCATTGCACATATCCATTCCAAGACCTGCCCCCATTCCTCTCTAGTCAGAGTCAGCTGGTAAAGAAGGAATTGAGGGGGCACAGGGTCAAAAGGGACCTTTATACCGGTGCTGTGTGCATGCGGCACCAGGGGGCACGAGAGCCGACCCGATGGACACCACTAGGGGAGGAAATTCTAGCAACTGTGCTTGAGGCGTGCACACACCTACACTGGAATGGACATGTGCAACACATCTCAAAGAACAAGAGTTACAGAAAGGTTAGTAACCATTTTTTCATGGCTCTGCTTGTTTTGATGCAAATAATTCTCAGTAAGAAAAGGTGACAGAAGGATTGTTTGGTAAGGAAATAAATTTGCATCTGAAAAAATATTGATTTATTTGTGAGATTCCTAGGAGAGAAGACCCCACACAAAGATTTTGAAGCAAATGACGGGGTAAATACCATATCACAATATATATGAGGATATAATAATGCAAACAGTAGCAAACATGGAGGAAGGGCAGGAGAATACATTTTCCTGGCTAGGAAACTATTGACCACCTGAAGCCAGGGAACAGGAGTTCAGAAGGCTATGAAATGGGGAATTTCCTGGTTGACACAGATAAACTATTGAACGTGTGGAGTACGCATTGTAATGGGTTGGCTTCTGCTCCCATTGAAATCAATAGGCAAAACACTTATTTGCTTCAATGGGAGCAAGATTGGTTCTGAAGAGGTATAGGTCAGATGACCTGATTAATCTAGTTACAGGCACAGTTAGATAATCCCATCTATGCAGCAAATTCACCATGCTAAAGCCCCATTACAGCCTGGCAGTTGTGTTACAGATGTGCTTAGAAACAGAGTCGAAGTGCTGGAAACCCACATGTTTAGGAATCGTGTTTACCATGTTTTGCATTGAATCAGTCACACTACCTGCTATTACCTTTTTAAAACCTCAGTAAAAACCTATAGTGGAGAAGAGGTCCTTAGTTTTGTATATTTGTACCATCCAGACTAATGCACTTGCATTGAGGAGGTAGTAAAATGGGGAAGTGCAAATGGAGGGATATCAACAGGTTTCTGCTTCGTTTGCTCAGAAAGCTCAATCGCACAATGTAGGTGGTCATCACACCCAGCAGTTCTCTTTCGACCAATCTCATCAAAGACCTTTGGGATCAAAACCCTCGCTGTTTGCCGTAACAGATGGGAAGGAAGCTCTCCCTTCAGCCGCGTTTATGTATGCAGATTATTGAAAACCTGTGACCGTGATGACTGGCAAGGGTTGCTAAACCTTTTGCTTAAATCCTAGATGAAAGAATTGGTTATTTGGAGAGGCAGAGATGAGAACAAGTGGTGTAAATTTGTATCACATTGGCGTACACGGGGAGAGAGGAAGTGCTTTTGCCAATAATTTTGCAAGCTATGGGACAGATTCACCACTGGTTTAAGGAAGTGCAATGCCTGAAGACAATGGAGTTGCACCCACTTACACTAGCCACTGATTTGGCCCCACGCATTCCCTGTCTATTCAACTGCAAAGTAGCTGGAGAGGAATAAAGGCTCATAATAAAAGTATAAACCCTTCCCAGCCCAGTCCGAATTAAATGATCTTTTCTGACACAGAGTTTGAGCCATATACTGTAATCTCACAGCACAAGAAAGCAATTAAATGTTGCCAATGACATGTCCTTTTCTCTGCACATGGATATGAGACTACGCCATATTAGAGTTTAAAGTAGCCAACACATATACTTTAAGAGAAAGCAGAAATGTCTCTTCAAAAAAGTGAAGCATCTCCAGGGGCTAGGAAATTGGTGAGTGACCAATGGGCAAAAAAAAAAAAAAAGTGCCATTACAATCTTTTTAAATGAAATGTTAGAATCCCTCTCAGTGGCAATAAGTTCTTGGGATGATGAATTAAAACACTTGAATGCCCCAAATATGATTTAAGAAATAAAGTTAAGGAGTTACGGTTTTTGGTGTGGCATTTAGGGATTTAGATGAATGCTAAAATGTGGAGTGAATATCATGAAAACATTGCCTGACAGTACAGTATATGAGGCTGGGAATTGTCTCTCAAAGTAAGGGGTGGAACATCACGTGAGACAATTGAACCTAATCTGGACAAATCTATCACATATACTGGACTAAATGATGCCATCAGTTGCACCCTTCTGGTCACTGGGTTGCCTGGATCAAACTGAGGGCAGACTTAGACCCGCTGTAGGGAACGATCTTAGATTGGCTGTGGGCGGAGAATACACTGTGATAGAGGGCCACATCCCTAATTCCCACGATTTTTGGTGTTCGATTGAAATGGCAGTCACACAGTTTAATTCTCGTGACTGTCATGCTGGAGATGTAGCCATTGTATGCGCTTTTGCTTTGTGCAGCTGGCTCATGAATTTTTGTGTGTTCAAATAGCCTTTGTAGTTATTCTTGCAAATTGTTTAGCTGCCAAGTTTGACCAGAACAAGGAGCAACAAATGTAAACCTCTCTTATGAAATAATAATCCTTTGCCCTTCTCTAGCACCTTCCATCTGAGAATCTCAAAGCACTTTACAAACATTCATGTATTAAGGGTCACAGCTCCCATGCGAGGTGGGTCAGAATCATTATCCCCATCCAATATTTACAGGTGGAGAAACCGAGGCCCAGAGAGATGAAGTGATTTGACCAAGGCCAGCCAGGAGGTGAGCGCTAGAAAACAAGAATGAAACACATTTTCTAGTTCCCAGCCCTGTACTCAGAGAGCAACTGTAGCTGAGTGGTTAGAACATGTATCTGGGAGCAAGGGAGAGTTGCGTTCTCTTCCCGACTCTTCCAGCGACTTGCTGTGTGACCTTGGACAAGTCATTAAGGTCCAGATTTTAAAAGGTATTTAGGCATTGCTGTGCTCAGTGATGCAACGCCAATCAGATTTAAGAGCCTGCGTCTCATTTCAAAAGGGAGTTAGGCGCACTTAGGAGCCAAAATCCCATTGACAGTTGATGGAATTTAGATGCCTACATTCCCAACTCACTTCTAAAAATGAGATATAGTCTTCTGAGTCAGTTAGGCTTTGCAATGCTGAGCACAGCAATGCCTAAATACCTTTAAAAATCTGGGCTGAATCTCTTTCACCCTCTGTTTAATTGGGGATAATGATCATCCCCTTTGTAAAGCATTTTGAGATCTATGGATGAAAAGTATTGTTTATGTCCCAAGTTTTGTATTATTATTAACAAAACCATTCTTCCTCCCCCAGATCATGTCTCCAGAGATTCCAGAAAGACCTGGAACTAGCCTATTCCAGAGAGCCTCACTGAACTGAGCTTAATTTGTTAAAAAAAATTTTTTTGCCTGTTTATTTGTTTATGTTTCTCTCTCTCTCTGGTACTGGGCAGGTGAGAAGCCCCACCAGTGCAGCATCTGTTGGCGCTCCTTCTCCTTAAAGGATTACCTAATCAAACACATGGTGACGCACACCGGCGTGAGGGCCTACCAGTGCAGCATCTGCAACAAGCGCTTCACCCAGAAGAGCTCCCTCAACGTGCACATGCGCCTCCACCGTGGGGAGAAGTCCTACGAGTGCTACATCTGCAAGAAGAAGTTCTCCCACAAGACCCTTCTGGAGAGGCATGTGGCTCTGCACAGTGCCACTAATGGCACGACCGGCGCAGCAGGCACCGGCAACAGGGCTGTCCCTGCCGGGGTGGTGGCCTGCACGGAGGGGACCACGTATGTCTGCTCTGTCTGTCCAGCTAAGTTTGACCAAATCGAGCATTTCAACGACCACATGAGGATGCATGTGTCAGACGGATAAGTAGAATCTCTGTCTCTTTGTTATGAACAAAAAAAATAGAAACAACAACAAAAAAGCTATGGCACTAGAATTTAAGAAATGTTTTTGTTTCCTTTTTACCTTTTTCTTTCTTCCTTTTTTTCTTTATTTTTAGTTTCGTTGTTTTTGTACTACATGAAGAACTGTTTTTTGCCTGCTGGTACATTACATTTCCGGAGGCTGGGTGAATAATAGTTTTCCCGACCTCCCTTGGATGGTGGCCTTAAGGCCAGGTAGTGCTTCAGGAGCTCCACTGGTTGGATCTCTAGCTACTGGCCTCTAAATACAACCCTTCTTTACTACAAAAAAAACAAACAAAAAAATAACAAAAAAAAATAAAAAATCTTTTTTTTTCTCACTTGTGAAGAGCACTACAAAAAAACAAAACAAGAGTATATTACGAAATCTACAAGGCCTACTGTCGTTTTAAGTACACCGCTTGCAGTGTTTCAATGGACGTCATTCACAATTCTGACCGCTCTCGGACTTCACAGTATCCAGTTAGAACTGTGGAATAGATCACTACTGGTTGAACAGCAACCAGACGCAACAAGGCCCTGCTGGTTTCCACCATTTGTCTGCTTTATCTTTCTCTCTCGCTCTCACACACACACACACACACACACACTCACACTCTCACTCTAAAAGGGCTGAGGAGAGGGCAAGGGAGTTTGGGTTGGATGGTGCGGCATCCCTTCAGGATCAGGAATAAGAATCACAGCTTCTTCTCCTGGATTCTGCTCCATCCCATGCTCTTAAGCTCACCCGCCCATCCCGCTTTCCCCTCACCACCAACACCACCTTTCAGCAGACACCAGGAAGATTCAGACAACAAGCAACGGTGGCTTTCTTTTGTAATTTATTCAGTGTCTTCGCTGAGCCTAGAGCCTCAGCACAATCAAGAGGGACTTTCACAGAAGGCAAAGAGAAACGCAGAGGAAAAACAAATATAGAGGTTTGCAACCTGCGAATCGAGGTACAAGAGAAGGATTAGTTCCCACAATCTTTGCAAAAAAAAAAAAAAAAAGTTGCATCAGGATTTATTCTTGTGGAAGAAAGAGGAATAGAGGGTGGGAGGGGATAATTAAAAAAAATAAGAGTTCTTGGGACTTTTTTAATTGAAAATTTTATAGAGGGGCAAAAGTGACGTTTACCAGATAGAATGCTGATTTTTTTAAATATATTTACAACAGTATTTGTGTAAAAAAAACAAACAAAAAAAGTGAGATTGTTAAAAGTAATTTTTCTTTGTTTTCTTTTTTGTTTTGCGTACACTGCCACTAATATCTTCTCTTTTATTATATATATACATATATATATGTGTGTGTGTGTGTATATATATATATATATGTATATATATAAACTTTTAAATTGAGACTGTTAAGGTTAGCTAACCTGCTTCCAGATAGAGGGAGGGTGGGGGGAGTGATCCTGATTTTTGTTTAAAAAAGAGCAAGGATGTTTCTTCATTTTCTATTCTAGTATTATTGTCTTTTTCCTTTGTTTGTTATTGTTTTGAGAATTACCTGGGTCTGTGAGGGCACTGTGAGGTCATCTACTATAGTCTGTCCATCCTGCAATGGCATTTGAACTGCTACTTTGTTTGGATATTTGGTTCTCTTTTGGCTCTTATCAAGGTCCTGTTGTTTATTTTTTGGTGTTCCATCTTGGATTTTGTTCCTGTTGAAGGGAGGTTCATTGTGAGAAGCAGGTTTTCTAGCAATGTTCATTTTGCCTCTGGAATGATAGAATTTATAGTCAAAAAGTATGTAAGATCCGGAGGTTAGGATTTCCCTTCCTTGTGGTCACTGGAGAAGAGTTAATCTGCTGTATTGCTGTCACCCTTCCATCTTGCTCACTACGGATCTTCCATAGCTGTGTGGAAAACTGATCTCCCATTAATTTGTTTTGATGCCAAAATAACTTTCTTTCCATACAATTTCTAATAATCTGCCCTTCCCTCTCATTTGCAAAAATGTCAAATCAAAGGACATGTCTTGCATTCTTTGTGCACCCAAAACTGTGCAAGGAATGCAGGATCAGCATTTAAGATTCCTGATCAGCGTATATGTCAGTGTCTTTATTTTGTTCTGTTGTCTCTCATCTGGCGTTCTCCCTTACCTCCCTCCATGAAGACCTTTGTGAGAATTCCCCCAAGGCAAACTCTCAAAGTACTTGGGTTCTTAATTCAGCTGGAACAGTGTCTGACAATATCTTTGTATTGTTTGAAACCCTTATCTAGGATTAGCACCTGCTGCACTCTAGACTTTATATTTTAGGCAGAGAAGAAGCACCTAACAATAATATGCAAAAAAAGAAAGAAAGAAAAAGAAAGAAAAGAAAAATTATTTCTTTAGATTTTAAAATGGGTCTGTATTTAAATTAAACTTTCTTAGGTTTACAAAACTTTGCTTGTAAAATCTGAAAATTTCCAAGTCATTCTTTCCAGACAACTTTCTAAAAATTGAATCAGTAGATTTTCTCACTAAATGCTGAGTATTTCTTAAGCCTACAACTTCTATTTCAGATGTCTGTAATTTAGCATGGGTGACTTAGTTGCTGTGGGTCAGGTGTATACGATTACTGACTTAAGGGGATACTGTCAGATACTTTAGGCTCACATTTTTGTATAACATACCCTCAAGATCCTAAATATGAAAGGCATGATTCTTAATTACAATAAGATGGTCTAAAGGGACTTCAGAGCAGGCTTAAATATAAATAAGAACCAGGCCCTATTTTTTTTTAATTTACATTTTTCTGTTACCAGTTGTTTTTAAAAGTGACATATTTGTATCATTCTCCAATATTTTGACTTGGCTACGAAAGGAATGCAAGTTAATTAGCAAATATTATTCTCACATCTATGTTGATAATATTGATGCTGTCATGATGAACCAGGAAGTGAAAGAGAGAGAGCCTATGGTACAAAGAGCAAAAGTTAATGTCTGCCAAATAAAGAACCCACTAAATCTGTACAGGAAAAAATGTTCTAACAACAATGGGGGGAGAAAACTATACAAAAGTATTTGACGGTGTCCCTTGGAAGTGAAGTGAAATGAAATGAAATGATCGGACACAGTTTTGTCTCATGAAAGTTTTCCCACACCTTTATAGTTGTAGCCTGCCCATTCACCAGCTGAGGCCTGGAGAAAAGCCGTTTAATTTGCCATTGAGACATTTGTGAAGAAGCCAAGATATTGGATAGTTGCAATGTGAGTCTGATGTCAAAGGAGATACACCAGAGCGCATGAGATCAGGATTTACATCCTCAGAATGTTGAATATAGACAGAACAATCCTGTTCAGATTAGACAGCTTCAATTTTCAACCTTCCCTAAATCAAACAAGCATCATCTTCAAAGTACAGATTTATAGCAGGACCTCATCAATTCTCACAAGTGCATTAAAGACCCATTATGAATGATTAAGTTGTGCTAATTAGAGAATAAACAAAGAAACAGATTTTAAATAAACAAGAGGTAAGGGTAATGCATCCCCGAATGAACTTTAACTGATTTGACCAGCAGTTCAGGCCAAGATTTTCAAAAATGGTTGCCTTAAATTTAAACTGATTGTAGTACATTATTAGTAATGTTCAGTAATAAGTGGCCTGGTTTTTCTAAAGTGCTGAGCACCCTGCTGCTTGGCTTTAGTAGTAGCTGATAAATGCTCAGCATTTGAAAATCAGGTCACTTATTTCAATGCCTCGTTGTGGAGTCGGGAGCCTCTCTTTTAGGCACTCATCTTTGAAAATATAGGCCTTGTTTTTTAATTATTTCATCATGTGTGCAAGGTCATGCCAGTGGAGAAGCAGGTTGGCCCGCGCTGTTCTGAATTTACCAGCACGCCCGTTGTTCTTGGCATGCGCCAGTACAAAGGGCCTTATTCTGCATCCCGTGGGCCTGATTCTCATTTACCCTGAGGCTCCTTTTAATGTAAATTACACCCACTTTAAGGTCCTTTTACAATGTCAGAATGCTGTAAAATTGGCCTTTGGATAAATGAGAATTAGGCCCCTGTGCACCCAGAACTCCCACGGAGACCAAATGAAGTCAGCTGAGCAGATAGGAATTATTGTACCATTTTAGATCTGACCAATCGTACACCTAGCCCAGGATCCTGTCTTTGACAGTGGCCAGTACCAGCACCTTCAGAGGAAGGAGCAAGAATAATGGACTAACCTGCCTGTAAGGGAAGTCCCTGTTAGTCAGATATCTGTTTATGCCCTGAATCTTGATAGTTCATGTCCCTTAATTTTGTACTCTAGCTAATATAACTGCCGACATTCTCATTCTCCTATAAATGTCTAGTTCTTTTCTTTTTTAATCCTGCTAAGCGCTTGGCATCAATAATATATTGTGGCAGCGAGTTCCAGAGGTGGTTATTTGCATAAAAAATATTTCCTTTCCAGTATTAAATATATTGCTATTGTCCCTTTATTCTTGTATTATATGCAAGGGTAAATAGGAGGACCAGATTTACCTGCTCTCTGCCATTCAGTTGAAGTCTGCCTCACTGGGAGATTTGAATGTGCAAGGAATGCAGAACCAAGCCATATATCTTTGTTGAGAAGTAAGGAGTGAACAAGTGTTTTGTGTGTAGGTGTGAATTCTGGGGAGGGGGGGTGAATTAGTGAGGTCCTACTGTAATTATCTCTTGCAAAGGAGGTGATGGCACAACTTGTAGTTCATGGGAACTACAGGCAGTACAGTGGCTGAACACACCAGCTTACGCCTCTGGATCTCTGGAGACTTGAATAGGACGAGCTTCACACAAGGCCCTAGTGTTTGTCCCTGTCACAGAACTCTCACAGTTTGGCACAATTACTAGTCTCTGATAAGGGGAGGTAGAGGAGTGGAATAGATGTGGGTATTTTGCACGAGATGCTTTGAAATAGCTTGCACAGCAGCTGTCTCCATTATGCCTGCTTCTAGCCAATGCTTTTAGCTGCACTCAGATTCACCCCAAATTTGTGATGAA